GTAATTGGGGGTCTCAGTAACAAATTAAATTTGGTCAAATGTTTAGCAAGTGGCATATGAAAAAGATCTATAACAAATATGATTAAGTTTGTATTGTTGATTTTTTGTATTTCGCCCCCCCACTAATTGATCGAATTTTGTCATTGGCTAAGTAAATGGGTTATGAATATACTCCAAAATGGACAAGAATAAGCTAGCAATTAATTTGAATTTTTTTAGTCAGAACATCACAAATAGATCAAATTTAGTCATAGATTAAGGAAGTAGGTCATGAAAAAATTTTCAAATAAACAAGACTAAGTTTTTAATTATTTTGAACTTTTATAATTAGGGATCCCACAAACATATCAGGTTTGGTCAAACATCTAACAAGTGAGATATGAACAAAATTCCTAACAAATAAGATTGATAAGACTAAGTTTGTAATTGTTTTTAATTTTTATATTTATAGTTCAATAATCAAATCAAAATTGGTCATAGGTCGAGTAAATAAGTTATGAATAGATGTTAAATGAACTAGAATGAGCTTACAATTGTTTTAAGATTTTGTAACTAAAAGCCCACAAATAGAGAAATTTTGTCATAGGTTGAGTAAGTGGGGCATAAATAAATTTTCAAATAGACAGAACTAAGATTTCAATTATTTTAAATTGTTCTAATTAGCAGGTTCCATAAACAAATTAGACTTGGTCAAAGGTCGAACAAGTGGAGTATAAATAGGATTTCAAACAATAAGACTAAGCTTGTAATTGTTTTAAATTTTAGTAATTAAGGTCACTAACATATCAAATGGATGCTCACTATAATTGATTAAATAATATTTTTTTTTGGTAGTTGAAGATGCTAAAAAAAACAAAAGGAAAGAAAACGACAGGCAACAAGAAAAGCAGAAGCTAGACTCTCAGAAAACGCTCTCCAGCAGCATCCGCTTGAAGCAATGGAATAACATCCAGAGGAGGCTCCATAAAATTAGTTAATCTATCAGGACAGTTAAGGCCCAATTTTGCAAAATAGTCGGCACACTTGTTGCATTCTCTAAGGACATGAGATATAGAAACTGCCCAATCCTTGTCCAACAGTTTGTGAATTTCTTGCACTAAATTTGAGTAATGATGCATATGAGACACCCCTCCTTGAATCCACTTTACTGCAGCCAAAGAATTGGTTTGACAATAAACTCTTGATAAGCCTAATCTTTGAGCAATACGTAAGCCTTGTAGAATGCCTAACAACTCCACTCCAATAATCTCATAGCCATCCACATTTCCACAAAAACCATGAATCCAAGCACCGTTCGAACTCCTCAACACACCCCCAAAACCAGCTTTGTCTTCCATAACACTCCCATCCGTATTTAGAATGACGCAATTCTCGGAAGGAGCTGACCACCCCACCCATTTTGGCAAATTACTATTCACCTCATGGTTTAAAAAAACATTTGTCATAGCCTCTGAAAGTGATTTGGCAGCCAACGCTACCTGCCAAGCCTTTGTTTTACTGCCCTCAAACACCAATCGATTCCTCCCCAACCAAATCTCCCAAATTGTAGATAAAAATAATGCGCCTCCCAACTTAATCCCATGATTGACCCACATCTTAAAATTATCTATCTGATAAAAAGTGTCACAACTTACAAATTGTAAAATTCGCCACACTTCTTGCACCTCATGACAGTCCCTGAAACAATGCATTACTGTCTCTTCCTGGCTGTCACACTGTCTACACTTATCATTTCCCATGATGTGCCGCTTAATAGTAATGAGGAGGTGGGAATAGAATCATGCCAAGATAACCAGAGAAAGAACTTGATATTCTCAGGTGCGTGAATCTGCCAAATCCATAGCCACTTGTCTTCACTTAGTTGTTGTTCGGGTTCAAATGTAAGCCAATTATATCCACTTTTTGCTGAGTAATTACCTGTTAAAGCAGGTTGCCAAACAATGCAATCATGTAGTCCTTCAGACAGAAGCAAAGATTGTTTAAGAAGCACGTGATTGAAATCCTCTGAAAGAGATGTCCAAAGAGAACTCAAATTCCAACCCTCTTCATTCCAAACATCCCAACTCTCATTTCCAAGTCATGTACATCTATCGCCCAAACTTTCTCACAAAGTGGGCCCTCCCCTGTCCAGTCCTCAAACCAGAAACTGACATCCCCATTCCCTAACTTCAACTTAAAGCCCAGAAGGAGGACGTCATGGGCTTTTATAATAGAGCGCCAAACATAAGAGCCCTGCTTCCTCTGACACTTCAGAATAGAATCAGATAACAAATACTTCTTTGACATAATTGAGACCCAGAACTTGTCATGACCTTGAAGCAGGTCCCACACCAACTTCCCTAACAAGGACACATTTTTGAATCTAGAAATTCTGGTATTCAATCCTCCTTCTCTTCGACGTCTAGTAATTTTTGTCCAGGCGACCAAATTAATACCCTTCCCAGAGGATCCCTTCCAAATGAAATCACGGCTCATTTGATCAAGTGTAGAACAAATATAATTAGGGAACCAATACAACTGCATGAAAAAAGTGGGTATAGAAGAAATGACAGCATTTGCCAAAGTGACTCTACCTGGCTTGGATAGTAATTTTCCTTTCCAAGTAGCTAACTTGGCACTAATCCTATCCATAACTGGTTGGAAAACTTCCCTCCTGGGCCTCCCATAAAAAATGGGGAAACCAAGATATTTTCCTAAAGTAGTGAACCGGATGTTAGATATTCCTTGAATTCTAGCTTTCTTGGCCGAAGTAATTGTCTTAGAAGCAAAAGCCCTTGATTTTTCAACGTTAATTTTCAAACCAGATTTAGTACAAAATTCATCAATAATAATCTGCATCAATCTAACTTGAGAATTATGAGCCTTGATAAAAAGAAGACAATCATCCGCGAAAAACAAATGGGATATGGAGGGACCTTCTTTTGAAATCTTAATAGGCTGCCAACGATGATCAAACACTGCCTGATTAATTAACAGGCCTAATTTTTCCATGCACAACACAAACAAATAAGGGGATAAAGGGTCCCCTTGTCGAAGACCTCTTCTAGGGATAATAGCCGCTGACTTAACTCCATTCCAAAGAAGATGCAAAGATGATGATGAAACACAATTCATAATTAACCTGCAAGTGATATCTGGAAAACCAAAATCAAGTAGGACATTATTTAAAAACTCCCAATCAATGCGATCGTAAGCCTTCTCAAGGTCCAGCTTAAAAATAAGGTCCCCTTTCTTCCTTTTAGACTTGTTCATAAAATGAAGCACTTCCTGTAGAATAATTGCATTATCGACTGTACTTCTCCCCGGAATAAAGCTGCTTTGGAGAGGGCTCATGATATTTCCTATAAAAACACGCAGTCTATTCACCAGCACTTTCGTGATTAGTTTGTAAACAACATTGCACAAGCTAATGGGTCGAAAATCCTTGTATGACAGAGGAGCATCCACTTTAGGAATCAAAACAATTAAAGTTTCTGCCAATTTAGTATCAATAATACCTGTTTGGAATGCCTCATTGATCAAATTCCATACATCATCACCTACAACGTGCCAATACAATTTGAAGAAAATTGGTTGAAATCCATCTGGCCCAGGCGCCTTGAAAGATTTCATACCCGTAAGAGCTTTGAATACCTCCTCCTTTGTCACCGGAGCTACAAGAAGATTTTTATTATCATCTGAAAGAGTAGGCATGTTCGGAGTAATAATGGACTCCCCTGTAGCTTCCCTCATGCAGAAAATATTTTTAAAATACAAGGAGGCCTCATGTTCCAACACATTATTATCAGAGCACCATTCCCCATTAGGAAGGAAAAGTCCACTCACATGGTTTCTGCGTCTTCGAATGACAGTTTGAGTATGGAAGAAAGTTGTGTTCTTGTTGCCAAACTTTATCCATTGTTCCCTAGACTTTTGGAACCAATGAATTTTCTCTTGTAGCAATATAGAGTTATACTCTTGTAATAGTTCCCCTTGCAGACGGATAAGACTAGCAGAATCCACATTCTCCAATGCTTTTTGGACCCCCTTCATTTTAGCTTCCAAGGACTTTTTTCTTCTAAAAATATTACAAAACACTTCTCTGTTGAACTTGATAGATTCCTCTCGAGTGGCTTGAAGAGCATTTAAAACATTTCCTCCCTCACCACACCAAGCAAGCTTCACAATGTCACTGAAACCTTCATGAGTAGCCCATGCCGCCTCAAAGCGAAAAGGTCGAACACCACGTCTACGTTGGACGAGACCGCAACGCAGAAGAATGGGATTATGATCAGAATGGAATCGGGTTAACACCTCCAAAGTTGCTTCTGGGAAAAGAACTCTCCAACTTTGATTTCCCAAAGCCCTATCCAACCGTCTAGAAATCAGTCTTCCCCCCATAGAAGGACGTTGCCAAGTATACTTGTTGCCAAAATAACCAAGATCTAAAAGATCACAATTATCCAACATGGTTTGAAATTCTGAAGCACGAGCATTTGAGAAATTACCACCACGTTGTTCATGCCCAAATAAAATATCATTAAAATTACCTAAGAGAACCCAAGGTAATTGAAATAAACTCCTCATCTGTGACAGATGGGTCCAAAGAATACGTCTTTGAGCAATACATGGACTCCCATATACACCAGAGCAAATAAAACTTTGATCTCCTTTTGAAATAAGAAGTGAAATAACTTGTGGGCCAGAATCAAGAAGCTGAATACTATAATTACAATTAGCTTGGACTAAGGCCCAAATACCTCCAGCATGACCATGAGCCTCTTCTACTGCAACTGTCTCATACCTTTCATTTCTCCAAAAAGAAGCCAAGTTTGCAAAAGTGGTATGAGTTTCAAAAAGAAATAATAATGTAGGATGCAAAGAACTCAACAAATTTCGAAGGTGCCGCTGACAACGTTTGTTAGCTGCTCCACGTACATTCCAAGCCAAGATCTTAATGTCTGACAGTAACATAGATAAAATAAGTTAAAAAATAAAAGGAACCACATAGGATATACCCCTTAAATTCTCATTCCAGGAGTCTCCACTACCATCTCTACCTCCTCCTCAACATCATGTGGTGATCCATTAATCATGACTCCCTTGTCCTTTCCTTCCACACACCCCAAGGAAAAGTGTGTGTCAGGGGGGTCAGGCTCATCTACAAATCTGAAATGATTTGGACCTGCCACCTCAATATTCATAGTTGTGAAGATACCGTGATCATGTGATTTGACTATGGGGACATTAGTGTCATTTCCTTTTGGCATGGGCATGTGATCTCCACTTTCTAGGGGCGGCTTATGTGACACGTAATTAGACTCTACACGATCCACCACTATTTGAATATTACTGTCAAAATTATTCTTAGGCAAAGGAGACAACCTGTCTTTGCGTTGACGCTTCTTCCTAGTCCACACTTTGGCAGTGTCAGCATTAAATACAAAATCTGGTTCCCCCACAATACTTTGCTCATGATTGGATTCTATTGATTTTTCTCCCATAATACCATTCAAAACATCATATTTATTTTTGGATGCAATCAATTTATTCTCTTTCCTCCCTTGTTGTTGCTGCAATTTATTACCGCCCATTAAATTCTCCTTACTCTTCGCCCCACGTTTATTGCGCGATACCATTAGCCAATCACCATGCAGCTGAATCCCTTGAATCACGTTGGTAGATTGGCTAGGGTTGACATGCTCGCCTGCTGTGCCTTCAACTTGAACGCTAGGTCCTTCTCCGCCGCCCTCCGCCATGGCTGCATGAGCTAAGCCATTAGTCGTCACCTGGTCAGCAGCTTCTTTATGTGAACATGCTCTAGACAAGTGGCCATAACACCCACACTTTGAACACAAGAGGTGGAGGCCCTCATATTCCACCTTAAACCAATGATTACGGAACCAAACTTTACCCACTACTGGACGATCAAGTTCTAATTCCACACAAACCCGAGCAAAACGTCCCCGCACAACGCCCATCGTCATGGTGTCCACTTTTAAAGGTTTCCCAACAGCAGACGCTAAAGCCAGCAAAATACTTTCATCATAATATTCCAATCCAAGATTTGGAAAGCGAATCCAAGCCATGGTTCTCTCAATACGAGCCTCTGAAGAAACAAAATTAGGCACCCAAGGTCTAATCGATAAATAATGATCAAAGATCATCCATGGACCATTTTCAACAACCTTACTTTTGTCTTCTGCACGATCAAATTTCACTATAAAGAACCCATTCCCTACGTCCATCAAATCAAACTCTCCTCCCAACTTCCAAGTGCTCTTCAATTTCTCCTTCATTATTCTGAATCCTAGTGGTTTACCTAGGAGTTTCACAAATACAGCATCCACCCACGGCTTCCATAACTCTTGGACAATATTCTCCTCCACAAAACACTTCGGACGAAGCCTATCGCCTTCCTCGTATTCAATACGAAAATGATTCATGGATATCAAATCCACTTTCTCCTTACGTGGTGGCATAGTAACACCCCCCATGAGTTTATCCCTGAATGTGGCTTTCCCCCAACTAGACCCTCCTCCCCCATCTGGTGGTTCAAAGGGAGGTCTCCCCTGGCCAATCTCTCCGACATTCTCCATACTCAAAATTTTTAGAAGTCTCCCCTGAAAATTCATGATATGCTTATTATACTTAATAAAATTTGTGTCTTTCATGTCTCTAACCTGACTTTATTTACAAGGATATCTAAATAACTAAAAGAGTTATAAATTGTTTTACTAAGTTTAGAACAAACATAATTTAAACTCAAATTTAGCCCTTTTCTTAGTGAACACTTTTTTTTAAAACATATTATAGGGGAGAAAAAATAAAATAAATAAAATAATAAATATGAAGAATAACATAATAAAAATGAAAAAAAAAATAAGGTTTATTATTTTAAAATTGTAAAGACAATATTGTTCACTTTAATTTTTTCTTTGGAATGATCTAGATTTAGTATTGAGAGATTAAGTAAAATACATATACAATAAAATCTATGTATTTTTTCTTTTGATACATAGAATTTAGGAAGAAATTATGTTTTAATCAATGTTTTAAAAATCAAACTAGTGATTGAAGTGGTTTGAGGTTCAATGGTTGAATGTAATTAAATCTAACATTAATAAAACATCAATAATAATAATAATATATAAATAAGTAAATTATCATTATTTAATAATACTAAAAATTAAAATAAAATTCTAATATTCAAAGTAAACATAAAATTATGACTATATTATGTAAGTTTTAATTTAATGAAATATAAAAAAAAATGTCAATTAACATTAACAAATTTACATCTAAAATTAAAAAATGACAAATTAATGTACAATAAAATTGAAAAGTATCAAGATATAAAAGTTTCTAAATTAATATAAATGAGTAAATTATTCTTTATAAAAAAAATTATTAAAAACAAGATAAAATAATTTATTCTAATCTATAATCTTTAACAAATTGTTTTTATTTCAACCCGTCAAAAAGTATTAAAATACTTTTTTAAAAAATAGTATCGGTTCAACCCAAATTTCTACACTAATTTTGCATTGATTTTGGGCCAATTTGACCAGTTTAAGATGATTTTTCCAACTTATCGGATGAATCACCATGTCAGTTCCTAGTCAGACCGATCAAACTAGTCGATTTGATGCAATTTTGATAACTATGGTTGTAATATAAGGTAGGAAATATCTTGAAACTAAAAAAGTACTTATTATCCCACCTTAAAATATGAGTGAGGAATGGAATCTATTACGAGTTAGATGCAAAATTAACCATTCAAATTATAATTTAAACCTTTGAATATATTGAGGAAAATATACATATCTTCAAATTAAACCATTCAAGATTAAAACCTTACAATAACCAAGATATAAAAAGGATATGCCACGACGTTAACGTTCTTCAGATCCATTTTCATTTTATTTTGTGTGTTTTTGACCCTAACATAATTGTAAATCATTTTACATCAAAATAATAAAATGTAGAAAAAAATAAATAAATATGAACACTTTATTGGTTTATTTTCTTAAATATCTTAAACTCAATTAATTTTCATTTGATGCTCTCGAAGCATTTAAATCATCTTGTTAACCAATATGTCCACAAAATTAATGATTCGTTTATTCTAGGAGTAAGTTTATCTAAACTTTGTTCAATAATTCATATTTGACATTAAATTTTAACGATCCAACCGTTGAATTTAAAGTTCTTAATACATAGATTAAGTCTACAAATTTTTAAAAAATTTAAAAATTATTTGATACTTCATTTTATTAATTCAAATTGACAAATAACCAATTGTTTATCATAATTCATCTTATAGTATGATCTGGAAAAAATTTCTCTTTAAAAAACGTTTAAGTTTGTTATCATTAAAAGTTATACCATAAGGGATCTAATATCATCTTTTGATTGAACACCTATCTTAACCTATGCCATAAAAAAATAAAAATAAACAACTTAAGCATCAATCTCTCCTTTACTCTAAAAAGCTTGGAGCTTGTGGGATTTATGTACTTTCCAACAAACATGGCACCTTTGCACCTTGCCCTCACCAACAAAGTTTAATGTCTCTAGTGTGAAAGGGCGGCTTCACTATAACCCCTTCACTTTAAAGAGCTTGGAGCTTCGGGGGCTAGGCTAACCTTATACCCAGTTCAAATGAGCCAAGTTGGCCACAAGCTCGTCCATACTAGGCTCCCCTGCCCATTGACGCCACAAAGTGAAACCCTAGGCAGTTCATCCCCAACGACTACAAAAGTATCTCCGCTAATCAATAATGTTATCTTTGCATATAATCAAAGATCACATTATGAAGAATAATGTTTGTAAGAATATTTCCTAAAATCATACAATGTTATCTTTAAGTCTAGAGAGAAGATATATATATAGGATATTAGGTATTACTCTAACCTTGATCACATTCTTAACATATAGATAGGGGTGGCAAAACGGGTCAGCTTGACCCGTTTTGGCCTTGCCCGCCAAAATGAGTCGGGTCGGGCCGGACCGTCAATGAAAAACAGGCCCCACTTAAGGACGGATTGGCGGGTTGGCGGGCCAGCCCGCATACAACAAAAAAAATTTTGCAAAAAAATAGAAAAATATATATTTTATGTTCAAATAAAAAAATGCTACAAATAAATAAATATAACCATATGAAATTAAAAATGCATACATATTATACATAATATATGTTCAACAAATGCAAATTACAAACATAGAACAAAATCAAATAAAAATTAGTCCACTTACACCAAAATCAAAACCAAATTATAAACTTACAAATTACTAATAATCTAAATTTTTTGATAGTCCACAAAACAAGTCTATCACTTATGCAAGCAACTGAATCACAATTACTTATGCGGGTTAGCGGGTTGTGACGGGTCAGCTTGTCATTTGGCCCGATGGTTTGGTGGGTTGGCAGGGCAGGTTTGACAGGTTGATGATTGAAATGATAAGCCCGGCTCGCTTATTTTTGGCGGGCCCGCAAGTCACAACTCATTTTTCTATCCCTACATATAAACCCCTTCTAATTTGAACATCAAAATATTTTTGAAGGTGTTCGTTGTTATGAATAGTGAAACAACTAAGACGTCATCCCCACCATTATAACACTTACAAATTTTAATAAAATAAAAAAAACTAAATAACATCTATAAACTGGCTAATAATCTAATTCGTGTCTTCCTATTTAATTAAGTAGTTAAGAGTAACAGAGTATGTTGATTGTAAAGAAAGGGTGATAGAATTAGTTAAGAAAATAAACATGACAGGGATGAAGTTATGATTACAACAAATTAATATCATTTAGTCTCTTATAATATGTCCATGACTAGCATTCACATGTATTGACAACTAGCAGTCGAAATGACAAATAATATTAAATATTAAACATTAGTTAACATAATTAACGGATGGAAAAGAATTAATGTAGCACAATTTTGAAATAATTTTTTTTATTGATTTAAGATACAAAATTTGAAATAAATAGGATATTATTATTAAAAAAAACAATTTAATTTAATAATTATATTGAATGGATAAGATTGACTCAAAAATTAAAATTTAAAATTAATATATTTTTAATTCTTACAAAATGGATAAATTTTGATTTTGATTCTTGTAAAATATTTTTTTTGTTTCTAGTTCTTCTAAAAGTTTTAAATATTATTTTTAATTCTTATAAAATATTTTTATTCACTGTAAAATGAGTAAATTTTGATTTTAATTCTTGTAAAAAAAATTTAATTTTTGTCCCTGTAAAATATTTCTTTTGATTTTTGTCCCTCAAAAATCTAAAATCACTATTTTCAATCCTTAAAGATGACTTTAATGTAGATAAATAATATTTATTTTAAAAATTTATAAAATATTATGAATGCCACATTAGTTTGGTATTACTTATAGTCATGGTAACACTTGAGATGATCACTCTGTAACACTTAGATTTCATAATTTATAATAATAATATTTTAGAAATTATTTTAATATTTTTAATGTGTTTATTAAAGGATTTTGATATTATTTAACTACTTATATGAGCATTATTTTATTATAAAGCATGATTTTTAATTAATATTTTAGTTATTTAATATAAAACATATTTTTATGAAAATGTATTTTATTTAGAGTTAAGCATATGTTATTTTTGTATTAAAAAGAGAAAGTGTATTTTAATTATTTTATGAGAAGGGAAGGAAGGACATAGTGGACTTTTGTTAAATATTATTATTATTATTATTAATTATTTTATTATTTTTAAGAAAGGAGGTTGTCGGGAGTTATTTTCACGCTTCTCACTTTCTCTTTCTTTTCTATGTGTTGTGCTCTCTAAGGCTCAAGAGAACCATGAGGAAAAGGTCACTAGGGAACCATACGCGCTTTGTCTACTACTCATCAAGGTAAGGGGGAGTGAGAAACCTCACTCGGGAGTGTGAGAATAACTATTGGATAGTAGGATTGACCATAATCCCTTGCCTGATGTATGCCTATAGGAACAGATACTATGAAAGTTTTCTGTTTTACTTTCTGATTGTTCTGTTGCGTTCCTTGTGTGATTTTGAATGTGAATATGCGTTCAATTTCAAGAACATGTGTTTTCTATTTTACTTTTTGAGTTTTCTGTTGTGTTCCTTGATGTTTGCCAAGTGTAAATATGTGTTTAATTTCAAAAATAGATAAGTTTTTATATGAATTAGAGTGCTCTATAGAGATTATGTGAATATGATGAGATAATGTGAAAAGTGAATATGAGACATGAGACATGATGGTATGTGGCAATGAGACATGATATATGAGTAATTATGACAAGCGAAATGATGAGTCAATGAAGTGTGAGTGTGTGACGTGCATCATGTGCATCGATGTGACGGGTACGATATGGAGTACACCGTTAGGGAATGCCTTCCTTGTGTAACAGTTTGGAGGAGTCCTAGGGGATAGTGCGATTTGGATGTCTCGATTCTGCCCGTTTGTGAGCACGAGAAGTAACTTGCGCGACTTCACTATCCCGACTAGACCCTAGTAGTACATGCTTCTAGTTGAGAGTGTATGGATAGCTCCCTACATGTACTCCTAGACTACCTTAGGTGTGTTGCTTAGGCAGCGGACCAGTGATATGTGATATGTGACTGGCGCCACATGCATGCCTTTGTGAGTTGAGTCCATGGCATCATTGCATAATGAGTGACTGTGTATGTGATACTAATGTATGTATGACTTGAGTTGTGCTTGATTAATGTGTGTTTTGTGTTGTGCTTTGTTATGATTTTTGTGTGTTGCTTGACTATTATTTTTACACCTTAACTTGAGTGAGATGTTTCTCATTCCCATGTTTGTGCTATGTGTGTCTTCTGCTGTCTTGCAGATGACCATCAACATGAGAATGTTGGTGATGAAGTTTAGGCTTCAATTAGGCGCGTTCTGATAGAATATGTGATATCGGACCATAGTTAGGCTTAGTTTATGATTTCATTATTGTTATTTTATTTTGAAAAAAACTCATGTTTCATTTTCTTGTAAATTTCGTATTTGACCATGATTTACGTTTACGAATGTGAATTCTCTACTCTTATGTTAATGGAACCATTATTTTAATTCAAATGATTTTATTTACTCTAAGAATATATTTTATTTGTTTATAATTATTGTATATGTATGTTAGGGTAGAAGGTGTCACACACTCAATTTTTTGATGAACAAATAAGTAACTTAAAATAATTATATAATAATATAGACTAAAAATAGTAACTTTAAATTTTATAAAAATGAAAGAAATTTTTTTACATAGATCAAAATAAAAAAAATTATCATTTTATAGGAACTAAAAACATATTTAAACTAAAAATAAAATATCAAAACTAAAAATAGTAATTCTAAATTTTATAGGAATGAAACAAAATTTTTTTTTTACAAAGATTAAAATAAAAAATTATCATTTTATAAGAACTAAAAACACATTTAAACTAAAATTAAAATATCAAAATACTTTCTTAAAACATAAAAATACCAAAATAAATCTTAAAAACACAATAAAGAATCAAAATTAGTACTACTAGTACTAGAATAAAAAAGACATTTATTGTCTGTGTATTTTAAAAAATAAAAATAATTAAATTATATATATATATATATATATATATATATATATATATAAATGATTAAATATTAGAGAAAATAAAAACTAAATAAGAATAAACATGAGAAAGAAAGAGTGAAACAATAGTGTTAATAATAGTACAGATTTAGCGTGATTGAGAGCCTAAATAGTAAATACTGAACCAGTCTGCAGGGTCAAAATGGTAATTAGCGCTATCGTTTATTTGTTTACAGGTTCAGTTTCAGCTTCAGCAGACCCAGTCCGGTTTTTCCCTCGGTTCGCTTAGGGGTGTATACGGATCGGTCCGGCCCATTTAAGACCCGCTCTGTAAAATCCGCGTTTTATACGAGCCGGATAAGTTCGGTCCTTAAAATAAATTGACTTATTTTTCAAGTCTTTATCTAGGTCGCCAAAATTCGCGAATAACAAACCGATCCGCGGGCTTAAATAATGATTAAAACAATAAGTTTTTAAAAAATAAAAACATAAAATTAGAAAAAAAATATATTTTTTTATAAGCTAAATTTTATCATACTAAAATTTATTAATAATTAAAATGATTTAAAATACTAAATATTAAAATATTAAAATAAAAATAATTATAAATACTTAAATAATAATACCAAACTTTTAATAATAAAAATATTAAAATATCACAAAAATAATTCAATTGACAAATATATACCAATTAAATATAATTTTAATGTCAACATAATTTTAAAAATTAAATATATAACTTAATTTTAAAATTATAATATTTAAAAATTAAATATTTTAATCTACCAAATTCATAGACTTCAGAGACCGGACTCAAAAATAATATAATCAGACGAATTTAAAAATAAGGGTGTCGTTATCCGTGAAATTCGCGACCTGGCCCGTCTACCCACCCTTCGCTCCTTCGAAAAGGCAAAAATGATTCTCGTTGTTTCTCTTATTCCTGTTTCCGTTTCGGGTTGAGTTCGTTAGGGAATCCCCGATCAGAGTGAGAATGTCAGTGAATCTGACGGAAAACGCGATTCCGGCGATAATCGGCGGCGACGTGAACGCGAAACCGCTGGTTCAGGTTCTGGACGTGGCGTTAGTCTCCAATATCAATAACTCGCAGCAGCAGAGATACAAACTTCTGCTATCCGACGCCGTTTTGTCTAAACAAGCGTTGCTCGCCACTCAGCTCAACGACCGTGTCCGAACCGGCCGAGTTCAGAAGGGTTCCGTCGTTCAGCTTCTCCATTACATATGCACACCTATCAAGAACCGCAAGTCTCTCTCTCTCTCTGTGCAAATTCTGTTTTTGGATTTAAGTCATTTCTGCAATTATACTCTAATATGTTGCGATCGTGAATTATCATGGAATTTACACTTTTTCTGTTATTCGAATTTTCATTTGGTTGGAATTTCACTTCTGAAAGCAAAACCTTGGCCCTTCTAGAAGATGCATTCTTCGTGCCCTAGTTATTATGCACTCGTAAACCTTGCTAGTTCGACGATAAAAGGAGATGGTTGAATTTTATGTTTCGTAAATTCATAATCTTTAGCTTCTTATGAATGGTTGTTGTATGAGTGGAGAAATTCAACCTAATTGAAGTTTTGCAAAACCTTAGCATTTAGGTTCTGTTTGGCTATACTTTTTCCGAAAGCATTTATAGGAAAGTGAAATAGGAAACGAAATGAAATAAGTTTTTTCGGCTAATTTGTAGAAGCTCTCCTGTAAACTTCTCCAAAAAAACTTTTTATAACTTAGTCATTAGTTTAGCTTATGGAAAACCTTATTTCAATTTTTCTTGTTATCTTTTTTAGAAGTACTTCTGGAGAAATTTATCGAAACAGATCCTTAGTTAGAGATTATAGCGTATTTGAATCTGCATCAGGCTGGTTTAGAAATTGCACTAATTTCACTTTAACCTAAAAGCTGATATAGATAGCTTCCAATTATCATGTCCTTTATGTGTGTTTTCGAACCCAACACAGCATTAAAGTGTATGAATATAGATGAATGCTAAAGAGTCATAAACAATGTTGTTGGTGGAATTTTACATCCTCAACTTTAGGTTTATCCTGTAAAAATTTATCTACTTCTGTGTTTTTCCTTGCACAGGATAATTGTGATTCTCAACATGGAAACTATAATACCTGATTGTGAGATCATTGGGAATCCGAAGCCATATATGGATTCTGATTTACCAAGTGTGGGAACTAAAGCTGATAACACTGTGGAGAATTTGCCCAGGAGTAACAACAATAACAATTCTGCTGCTCAAAATGCAAGCCATAATGCGCAGAATTTCAGGCCAACAATTCAACCTCCATATCAACCGCCTCCTTACAAAGGCCGTGGGGCAATTTTGAAAAATGAGGCACCGGCACGCATCATTCCTATTGCTGCTTTAAATCCTTATCAAGGTCTGGGGCGGTCAGACAAGCCAGACTGGATAACAGTAAGGGCAGCCATATCATTCATCAAGACTGATACATTTTGTTACACAGCTTGCCCTCTGATGATTGGAGATCGACAGTGCAATAAGAAAGTTACTCTTTTAACATTCTATGTAACTAAACTTATTATATTAAAAGATTAAAATTTAAATTTATATATACTTTTTGATTAAAAAAATGAAATAAAATGATGTTGCAAATCTTTATGATGATTTAAAAGCATAACACAATTGCGAAAAACACTGCAATAACAATATTATAACCGCAACATGTGTTGTGGATGACAATTTAAAACTTTGATTATAATGCTAGCTGCCGAGTGCCAACATAGAAAAGAAATCTAATAGTTAGATTGCCTATCTATCTTGCAAATTGATAAATTATTTATTTTCCTTGTCTATTATATGTATAGGCTATCGTGAAATTGGCAGAAAAATTCGCAGGAAAAGTTACCTGCAAAGTTTTTCTACTATTTAGTAAATATTACTTGCGAATTTATTTTTGTAAGAAAATCTGTAAGAAACAAAATAAAATTCTTACAATATTTTTTGCAAATTTTTACCATAAATTTTTTTTATGATCATTAAAATTGTAATAAAATTTGTAAAAAAAATTTGTAAGAAATATCTATAAATATTTTTCACAAATAAATTCATTAAAAAATTTGCAAAATCATTATTACAAGAAAATTAGTAAAAAAAATTTACAAATATTTTTAAAATAAAAATTGTAAAAAATGATACTTTTCTAATTGTATTCGTATCTAATTGTAATTTTGGTAAATTAATAAAGGGAAATACATTTGGTAACATATATATGTCCCAGTCCCAGTCTCTCACATCAACTCTAATGATATTCGTTCCAGAACTTTGATTTGCAGTTTAATTATTTTTAATTCGTTTCAATTTCCGCGTTTCTTGAAGGAAAGGGTTTTATGACTGAAGAGTTTCTGCTATGTTGGCCAAATTTCATTTCTTCTCCCTGGAATCCACCCTTCAACGGGTTGCTAAAGTAGTCTATATATGGAAATATATGAATAATTTTAAGTTTATTGAGCTTAAAAATATATAATATTTAATAAATTTAATGGTTATAGGAGAGATAGATGTAATTTGTAACATTCGTAAAATTTAAAAGAACAAAATTTATGATAAAATAAAAGATTAAAAGTACAAGAGGTAATCAATCGTAAAAATAAAATAAGAGAGTGATAGAGAATGCACATTAAATAAGAAATAAGTATATTTTTCTCCATGTGATAGAGGATGGATATTAAATAAGAAATAAGGTGTCACACATTAGTTGATAGTCTATTTGTTTGATGTGTATGTCTCCTAATTTATTTTATTTGTTGATGTTAATTTTGCGGAAACTTTCATTTTTACATAAAGTTAAGGCTAAAATTCTATTTTGGTACCTTATATTAATTGTTTGTTTCAATTTAGTCTCACTTTTATTTTTGGTTTCAATTTGGTCCCATATTAATTAATTGGTTTCAATTTAGTCCCAAATTAATTAATTAGTTTCAATGTGGGACTTCCGTCCAAATTATTTAAACGGAGTTAACTTTTAGTCACGTAGATGCATACGTGGATGCCACGTGGATGACAATTTTTTTTAAAACACCTGAACCCAGAACGGCCCGTTCTGAAACCAGAACGGGCCGTTCTGGTTGCACTTTTGGTGTGTTATGCAATTTTGATCTCACAATTTTTAATTGAACAATTTTAAAATCCTTGGCCCTCCAATTGGGCCTAAGCCTACCTAACACCAAAAAAATGACCAAACAACACCACTAAGTGTGCGTCACCTCCTTAATGGATGCACCCTAGCCCAATTAAAATCCTAAGCATCTAAATTACCCCAAAATACAAGGGCCAAAAATGGGAAATACAAAGAAATAAATCCTGAGTAGTATAGAATTTATTGCTTTATTCCATTTTTACCCTTGTATTTTGGGGTATTTTAGTCCTAGGATTTATTTCTTTGTATTTCACATTTTTGCCCTTGTATTTTGGGGGACTTTAGATGATTAGGATTTTAGTGGAATTTTTTTATTATTAATTAGTTGATAAGCATTTTTCTTTTGACTCTTATGTAGATGTGGTTGCATACACCGCAATGGTGCCATCATATGGAGACACGTATGGTTGGATTATGGTGAGATTAAAAGCAAATATTTAACTAAGAAAAAAATATATAATATACATATACTCCTTGGATTCCTTCCTATATATCATTTTTGTACGTGTATGTCAATGTTCAAATGAAAGAAATTAATCGACATGCAAGGTATATGGTTAAAATTTACTATATATATATATACAAATTAAATTGCATTGAGAGATTAATAATTTCATTTCAATGGAAGTGTAGTGTCCTAGTTAGATATAGTTAATTAATTTCACTTTCGTTGCCAACAATGATTAAATCCTAGGTAATTAACGTTTGTTATACTTGATTGTACATTTAATTTACCAGGCTTCTGATGAACGAATGAATCTTGATGCTGAAGCACTGAACAACAAGATAGGGGAAAGAATCACGGGGGAGTTAAGATATCTCGATGGGCCTGTCATTGTGGTGTCTACGATTCTGAACAAGACATTGAGAAACTCGTAAGTGATTTAGATAGCAATAGTTAATACCAATCTTATGTGAATTGAAGCACTTTAGCATTTTGTTTATGACGTACTGAATGCGTGGTTCAAATTGTTGCAGACTAATGGAAGAGACTCGTATCTTAACCGATGAAACGATGACGGTGGGATATGTTCGCAAACCAGGAGTTCGCCGTTATGATGCTTAGTGTTATTTTTGCTGTAGGCTAATCCAGCTTTTTGGTGGCATTTTGAACCAAAACTTTACTCTCATATTTCATTACCCTTCAAAATAACCTTAATCTCTAGAAATCTAGGGTCTAATAATAACATGAATAAGGGATTCATGTAATAAATGATCAAATGCTGAAAGCCTAATGTTATTTATTATGAAGTTCTCCGGTGTTAAATGTTATGAAATCTCTCTCTCTCTCATGCATCATTGTTATGACTTATGAATCACAAAATCTCTCTCTATCTCTCATACAGTAGAAACTCTTTAAATTAATACTCGGTAAATTAATAAACACTCTAAAATAATAAATTTATTCGGTCCCGACTTGGATCAATGTAAAAAATTGAAAAACTCGATAAAATAATAAGATAATAATTTTTCCGGAGATTCCTTTATAATTTTCGGTCCCAAGAAAATCATAAATTAATAATTCATAGAAACTGAAAAAAATATATTACACTCTATTGAAATATAATTCAATAGTTGTCTGTTTTCCTTTAAAGTTCAAGTCTATTTGGAGCTCATCTCTAACTTTTCTTATTGCATCCAATAGTTCAGGTGTTGTATTTTTGTATTGTATCATAAAGTTGTGAAGAGTGTTCGACGCCATAAGTGCTTCCTTTCGCGTAACAGGCTCCAAAGACACCGTATCATCTTCGTTGTCATTCTCTGCATTGTTCTCAATGATAGTACCCACAATATCTTCTAAACTCTGAACCTCCGAACATGCTTCATTTTCACCTGGGTAGTTCATTAGATTGTCGATATCCATCTTATTATGATAGCCACATTGATTGATCATAGTCTCGAGGTCTTGAGTTTCTTCATCAAAAGTGGATTCATCCAAATTTCTTGCAACGTCACTAGCTGAACGAATTTTACTGTGTCGGAAGCAATTCGGTATGTACAGTATAATTACTTAAAAATTCTTTAAATTAATAATTATTAATTTATCGATAAATTAATAACTCTTTAAATTAATAAATTTCTCCAGTCCTGACATTATTAATTTAAAGAGTTTCTACTGTACTAGGTTATCGTTCAATTTTGAGCTTCTTGCACTCATACTCCCTAAAACTATTAAGATATACTCTATTGCAACTAGCATAAGCAAATATAGGAAATTAGGAATCTGTCCACAAATTATATTTTGTCATATAAGTACTTCTTAAATTAAAGTGTTTTTAGGAAAATTGTTCAACGAAAGTGTTTTTAACTTCTTTTTTCAATAAGAATATTTAACTTTTTTTTCTTTCTATTTAATCTATCATCTTCTTCTTTTTTTCTAAATTAAATTCTAATATTTTTTAAAAAATATCTATAATTAAAAATAACTTATATTAGTATATTATGATAAAAAATTATTTATTATAAATTAAAAATATAATTTATATGATAAAAATATTTATTTATTATAAAAATCATTTATAATATATTTTATTTATTTAAAAATATATCATATCCGGATTAAAATACTAGTTAAACATAAATCATTATGTTTGCAACAATGTATTTGGGTACAGAGCCCAATTTGTTTGTATGTAATACAAATTTTGGGCATCTTATTTTCTTATATTTTCGTCAATTGCAAGTAACTCTTAACACTAATATGTAATTTTTGTTAAGTAGCAACATTAATATGTTTTATTTCAATTTTATAATTGAGTCAATTTTATAAACATGCAAATAACTGAATTCATGGGGAAAAAATTCATACTGTTTAACTTTAAATACAAATGAAGGTCCTTGATGCACAAGTGAGTTGAGTGCCTTAGTTATTTGTTAGATTCAGTTAGTTTGATGGGGTGGAATATACATATTGCTTATAAATAGGAGGAAGGTTCGAGAGATGAGGTATCTAACTGAGAAGAGTTAGAGCTTTTGGACATTAGGAGGTGTATATAGATCCCACAAGAGTATAGAAAACATTTTTGCATATAGTTTCAGCACTTGTCAAAATTCTTTAGCTTGCTTGTTCTTCTCTTGTCTATATATTTATATAGCTCCATTTGAAATACCCGTTGAAGATGCTTTGACGTACAGTTGTTCTTCTTGTTTCCGATCTCTATGAAAGCATTGTGAATTCTTTGCATTGTCTTCAAGAAGACTTTGATTCTGACTTGGTAGAGATAAATATATTTTTTTATTCATCTCTTCTTTACCAAAATGACATTACATTTTTGAGGCTAAAGCTTCTTTGCTAAAGATTTTTCTTCTCATTATCTCCTTTTGTACTTGGCTTGATATACGTGTTGTCTTTTATCAAAGGTTATACTTATTCATCAAAAAAAATTCTTTTCATTAAATGCAAAGATATTCAAAACATAATTTTAGTATTTCAATGATGATTTTGTTATTAAGATTTGAATTCATATAAGAATAAAGGGGAAAATACACTTAAGCAAATTTCAATCAAGCATATATTATTCATGCAAATTAGTTTTTGGATGTTTGTATTAGAGATGTGTTAAAATCCTTTTGGATGATTGAATCAAAGTTATATTAAAAACCTTTTGGTTGGTTGTACTAAAGTTTGTATAAAAGTTGATAAAAAAAAATAATTAGATGCTTATATTGCTATAATTTTTGGAAGTTTGAAAAACGTTTTGTGTTCACTTTATGACAATGTTAACATCTTATATAGAGCTATGAACATATATACTTTTCTTTCTATATTGGATAATGAACTTATTCTACAACTAAGTATGTGTTTGGTTAAAGTTGAGTTCAACTTTAATTTACTTTTACTTTAAAACAATAACTTTGTTGTTTTTACATTTTATATATTGGAAAGTAAAAATACACATTTCAATACTTTAAAATGGATTATCAAACAGATTCTAAATAACTTAGATTATCAAAATGTAATAACTTTTGTTATCTTTAAAACCTATAAGATATTTTTAAGGATCGGGTGTTACACACATCTTTAATTCAACAAAAATATGAATCAAATTGATAAGGTTTAACATTTTATTGAAATCTCAAATCAAACCTTATTATGCACAAAGATTTTATGAATAGTGAAAATTAGATAAGCCAAAAACAAAGTAAACCCCAAATTTTATTTTAAGAATGTTTAAATCAAGCAATTTAATCGTAAAAATTTTATAAGAAAATGTTTATTACTCATTAATTTTGTAAAAGTTAATTCATTTTAGTCCTATTTCATTGTTGTTTGCTATAAAAATATATATAATAAAAAAATGCAGATGCATCACTATAGAGAAAGACACCCAACTATGTTCAACAAAAGTTTTTCGAATTCTCAAAGACTAAAAATGCCCAATCCATATATACAATCTTAATGACTAATATGTGTATTTATTCCCTTGGCAAAAATATGATTTTTGAATTTGATTCTGGGGCACTATTGCACAGCAATTGTAGGAGTTTGACATTAAGAGAAAAGCTCGCATTAGCAACTGAGTTTTGTGACATAATGCAATCAATCACAATTAGCGACCAATTTGTCAAATGATTAACTTCTTTGAAATTTTTTTTTTTTTTAGAATATCTTGGGAACAACATTAGCTAATTAATGGTTTAACAGTTACAAACTACTAAATCATATATCAGTCATTAAATCGGTAGCAATTACTGTTTTAAGTATATACGCTAATATTAAATAGTTTGCAACCCATAAATTTGGTCGCTAACAAATATTAATTTTAGTGATCAAATGATTAAATTTTATGGAAAAATAAAGTTTAGAATATCTTGGCAATGGCATTAACAAAACGATTTAGTAGTATAAACAGCTAAAAAAACATTTCGATTGCTAAATCAATTGCAATTGTTGTTTTGAGTATATACTCTACTATTAAATATTTTGTGACCCATAACTCTTGTCGCTATCAAATATTATTTTTCTACCTAATGAATTTATCGCTAATGTAATAAAAATAAAATAAAGAAATATAATATTTTGCGATTAAAAATTTAGTAGATATCGAATGTCAACATATTCAATATCTTTTTTTATTGGTATATATTATAAATATTTTAGATATAATTAAAAACATAAATAAAAATTACATTATATATTATATAATTATTATTATGATATTTTACATTTTTAATTTAAAATAACAACTAACGTAAATATGTCTTACAATAAAGTATAGTTTTTTATATATAAATTAGACATTTAACTTGTGATGATATTATAAATTCAATAATATTGATTAAAATCGAATTAGACTCAATTATAACACAATGATTCAACAATACCTAATTAAATCAAAGAGTTATATAATGATAGTTCAAGGCCTAAGTAGGACCATAGATATTAATGATTGATGAAAATCCAATTAAGCTCAAGTATAACATTAGTAATTGACTAAGACAAACAAGGCCTAGGTGTAACAACCAAGGCTCAATTAAGTTCAAATGTAGGCTTTTTGACTCATTAGGGGTTTTATTACCATGGAAACATCTTACTAAACTAAGATTGTCTTAAAACATACAACTTTGGAAAAGTCAATACTAGGTTTCATTAGTCAACCCATTGACACTCATGCTACGTCAATTTTTTTGTTCTTTTGTTTGTGTTAAAGCAACTCCACAAAGGACACATGGTGTCAAGGTTGGTGTCGTTGGAGTCGATTGCCACATGACATGTAACAACAGATTTTAGTGACACCATTTTTTTTTTATGTTGCTTTGGGCTACAAGGGAGAGTTTTTTTTTTTTTTTTTTTTTTTTTTTTTTTTGAGCAAGTGACTCTTGCAACACTTTTTTTTTTTCTTTCATTTTTTAAGGTGTTGTCGTAAGGATTAGTTGTTACACATTTTTTTTTTAAAGCTTGTGGCAAGTGGCCCTAGTAACACATTTTTTTTAATGTCGCAAGTGACCACTGCAACACTTGCAATTTTTTTAAAGTGTGTCACAAGTGGCCCTTACAACACATTTTTTTTAATAGTGTCATTAGTGGCCATCACAACATTTTTTATAACTTCTTATATATATGCTCATTCTCTCAACTCAATGATCACAGTCTTCATTCATTATCAAATTTTAACTAGTGTTGTGTGGTTTGTTTTGTTGAAGTATATATGTCTTCTATTTTTTAGTTGTGTTTTACAAAGGTAAATTATTATTGATCCTAAAGGAATTACATATAAATGTGATGCTCCTAAATTATTTAGGATTAATGAAGGCATTACCTTACAAAGGTTGAAGAAAATCGAAGATGTCAAATTGAGTAAGAGGT